AGCATTCAGACACTAAATTATTTTAAAAAAAATTTCGAAGTAATAATCAAAGGAAATTTATTAGCAAATAGGAAAGAAGTAACAAATATTTAGAAACTTGTATGACTGACTACATTCATAAAAATATTTCAAGAATTGAATATTTAAAGAAAGTTAGCTTCAAATTTACAAATCAATTGTTTTAAATTTTATTAATTATATTTTATTATTTGTATTTAAAGTTATGACTAGTTGAATTCCAAATCAACGATTTAAAATTGTAGATATTTTATCATTTTTTTTTTTTCAACACACATTAACGCACATTTTTAACCAAGCCTACTTTAAAGTTGATAGTCCTAATCCTGTAAAATTGAGAAGGAAAATGTGTGTAATTAAACGGGAATCAATTCGGCTATACATAATAAAATAAGCTTTTTCAGACGGGAACCAATTCGGCATGTGAGTTTGGAACTCGAGAATCAAATCGGTAACAACCGATTTACTAAGTACCTAGTCAAGAAGTAGAAGTCACCAATATAACAAAGATACATCCTCATAATTAGACAACATTGTTGAAACTATACATTTTTAGTTTCATCGGTGTACGGCGAATATGAAATAAAATGGTTCCAGCTTCAGCGTACGTAGGTACTTCTTTACACAACATCCAAGGATGGATGTTCTTTTTCACTACTAATTGGATGCTTTTCATTTCGGTACACTATCGTCTAGTAAGTATATACATACACACACACACACACACACACACACACACACAAATAAAGAACCATCTCGACTGTTGCTCAGGACGTTCTAATCGGTAAATCTGTAATCTCGTTGTTATTTTTCAGTCCCTTCAGAAAGATAAGTGATCAATAAGGAACGTCAGAACGCGGAGAGAATCGTTTGAGTGCTTACTATTTAGTCAAGAGGTGTGCGAGTTGCCGTTAACTATTACCTTGCCAGTCGTCTATCACGTCTATCTTTTATCCGATGCTCGGCATGCCCAGTTTTAGTACGTACTTGACCTTGTTAATGTTGTTGCTGCTGAAAACCATTGTTGTTCTAGTAAAAACTTTAATGTTCGGTCGTAATGAGACCTCATATTATTTATGCGTTACGCGATCGACTTGAAGCGTTTGAATTTGCATTCGCAGAGCGTCAGGTTCTTCGTGGGGAACATTGTGCATGGATATTAAAGTGTCGATCACCATCAGCGCCCTGTACACGCTGGCCACGCAACTTTTTGGTGGCTACTTGATGACAATATTCCTAACTGGTTACAATGGATGTAATAGTACCTCAATATGATGTGGGATGTTTGTTACACGTATGTCGTCGCATTGTTTTGATATTTTTACTTCATCATAAATATAATTTTATATGTTGCATAACAATTATTTTAAGACTTTTATCACCTATATTTTTAAATTTTTAAAATACATTATATAATTATTGTCTTATTGAGTCAAACGTACAAAATTTTCTTGTCGAAAATACCTGTGATGAATTTTGTTAAACACTGTTCGTACAGCTTTTCGTTAATACTTAGATCAGGGTTGTTCAACCTTTCGTAGTTAATGGGCCAATTTTTACTTTCATAAAAACACTAAAGGCCGCCAAAAAAAAAAAAAAAAAAAAAATATATTTTTAGCCAGTAAAATCTGCAGTCAACAATCTTTGCCTAATAATGACTCTAATGATAATAATGACTTTCAAAATCTTTCACCACCATAAATCGGATTCACTGTGGCTACTATAGAAGCACGATACATACGTACACAGTAAGCTGAATTCAATTATGGTTTTGGACGTTATTTATTGCTCTTTATTAATTTTAATTGAATTCACGGGTTTTTTATTTTATAGCATATGAGTAATACATTTTTTTGTATTTTTTTTTATGTAAATATTATATTTATTTAAAAAAATGTTGATTTTTGTTAATATATATATATATATTATTTTTGTAATTGAATAGTTTTTGTAAGCAATAACAATTTCTAATTACAGTATTTATAATTATTGATTGGTCACTATAAAGTTATTTTTTTTATTGTAACACAATATAAAATTTCTATTATTTAAAAATAAAAATAAAAATTAGGTTTTATTTTGTTTTTGGCTATATAACATTACATTTGAATTTATACCAATACCATTATTTGTTTTAGCTCAATTTGTATTTAAAACATTTTAATATTTTAACCGAACGAAAAGTTTTACTTATATTTAATGGTTTCTTAGCGTCTTAATTCATAATGACAATAGAAAATGTTTTCAAATTTAAATATTTGTTTTATATTATTTTAATATTATATAACATATTAATATTAGTATCTAAATTACATTTTGCCAGCTATAAATTATTGATAGGTATATGTTTTTATTGTATTGTATTTTGTAAATTACGTGTATAAAAATATAATGTATGAAAAATATATGTTTGTGCATGCCTTATCTAAAATTACCGTCACGTGGTTAATGTACTCTGTTCCGAATAAGAATGTATCTTGGCTGTGGATTCTGTGTACCACCAACAAGCCGTTGATGAAAGACACATTCATATTCAATTAGAACGACTACATAACATTCTTGATTGGTGGTGTACTTATGTATTCTATTTCTCATAGACAGAGGCGGAACTAGATTCTTGGAGTCCCGTGTAAAAAATTTTCGTGGCAAATTTCTAAGCCAGAATTTTGTTTTTCTCACGTAACATCTTTATTCTTTAATATATACATATATATATATTATATTATAAATTATATATTATTATTAATAATATATTTATAAATAGGTAAATATTGAAATTAAGTTGTGAATATTTATTTTCGGCTTTGGTATTATGCAAAACTATTGATCAATGCCGACATATTTGATTTTTTGCACGTTCGTTTTCAATAGATATCATGGCAAAACCACTTAGACGTGTTTGAGACATAGTGTTTCTGAGGTAGCTTTTTTTGACTTCAGCTTTGAAAACGATCTCTCAGCACTGACTACAGTTACTGGTAAAGTGAGAAATTAATAAAATGCCTTTAGTAATTCCGGGAAGTTTGTCATAAGATTATTATTTTCAACGACTTACAATTTAGTTACATCAAAAATATTGGATAATATTTCGAGCTCAAAAGTAAATAATGTTCTAAAAGATTTGATTTGATTGGTTAATTCTGCCGAATTAAATGTCAGTAGGATACAAGTTACAACCGATAATTTATTTATGTGATAAAATTATTATTCTGCATTAGTATAATTATAACTCCTTTTTTCTAGGATATTTTATTTAAAACGAATAAATGCATAAATTTTTACCTATCTTCATATTATACTGAGATCTAATAACTAATTTATCATGCTAAATTACTATTATTCTGAACCTCAATAACTAATTATGCAATGGTTTACTTAAAAAAATAAATGGAAAGCTAAAAATTAAAATTAACTTTTATGAGGTTTTTAGTTAAATTTTTTAAATTTTAATGTTTATTTTTTTTTTAAGTTAAATCGTTTGAGACCCCTTTTATGACGAGGCTCGTGTGAAATCACACCTTTATCTATAAGTTCTATCTATAGTTCTGTCACTGCTGATAGACATAGAAACCTATTGATACAGCGCAATTGAAAACAAACCAAAAGAAAAAAAACTCAGAGGTGGGCCTAAAAAAATATGGATGGACGGAATACGACAAGATCTGGGGAATGGTAACGAAATGGGAAGAAAAAATCCAGGATCCCAAATATTGGAGGTCGGTAACTGTGACGGCTAAAATTTACAAGAGTTGTTAAATTATATAGTTTTTATTTAGGAAACCGATTATTTTTAAAAGTTCGGTATGGGCAGTATAACAAACACCTGAGAAATAAGTTATCATTTTATGTTAGTATTCTGGATTATTAGTATGTTATTGCAAAATGAATAACTCATCAAATTCTCACAAACAAAAAATTGAATATATTACCATAAGAAGACTAAAGTACTTTGAAGTTTTACTCAAACTTGACTAAAGGTGTTAATAAAAATACATTCCTGGGGGCAGAAGTGAATACAAGGGGGGATGTGGGGGTCATTTCCCCTCCCCATAGGTCTTTTTAAAATAGTATAGTGTTCTTAATATAAGGAAATTATAAGGAAACAAAAAAATATTGCAAGGATTTATTGTAAATTATTATTTTGACACATTCAATGTATATCTTTTACATTTATTTAAATCTATTTAAATGTGTTGGTACTTAGGTTTAGGAATTTTTCTTCCATAATAATTTGTTTGCAACTCATCCCCCCCTCCATACAAAAGTTATGTATACGCCACCGCCTGGGAGTGCACCTAACACTCAGTATGTTTATATTACGAATGACTTTAAATCTGTTAATAAATCAGTTAATTCATGTTTTGATTATAGGTTACATGAACATATACTCATGTACCAAATAATAGCATTACCAATTTCCTAACAATCTGATTTTATTTTATTACCTAAAATAATACTGATCAATTTTTCATCATTTAATTTATATTAATATAAAGACTATTGTCTACCTATTTTTTAAAAACTAAAATTATTTTATGGTATTACACTGTATATTCTTAAGAATAAAAATACAAGTAACATATTTTATTTAACAGCTTGACCTATGGAATTTTAAAATCTAGAGAAGGGCGACCATATAACAGGGAATCCCACCTTCATTGAGCACATACGTCACTCGTTTCAGGTTTAAATAAATTCACCTTTAGGTTAAAAATAATAATTAAAATTATGAATTATGTATACGTATGTATACGTACCAATAACTTGAATCGTAGATCACAATACACGTAATATTAATAATAAAACCTATATATGTATTATGTGTGTGTATCATTCATGGTCTGAGCGGCAAATTCATGAACCATAACATAACCTAAAATATAATGCAGGTACTGATAAACCATAAACTGAACTGAATTGATAAACTTATAAATAAAACGTAATAAATTAAATTACACAGTTTAACTATTAACTATTCAAAATGAATCATATTACAGAATTATTTACTATATTATTATTTAAATCCTTATAGAAGTCTAGTTATTATTATTATCTTATGGAAAGTTTTTAGTCGTATTAGTTAATGAGTTTTTAATTCTATGAAATAATCCTCTACCAAAGAAAATGCCTCTGAAGCAAAGGAAAATTGCTATTATGGGCTATCGTTCAGTCGGTATATAAACAAAAAAATTAAATTAACGAATTAATTAACACGATTACAATGAAACAAGATAAATTTGTTATTAAATATTTTCTATAACTGTTTTGTTATAGGTAAATCATCATTAAGTATACAGTTTGTTGAAGGTCAGTTTGTTGACTCTTATGATCCTACAATTGAAAATAGTAAGTGTATCTAATTAAATTTCATAAAATTATTATATTGAAACTAATATCCAATCTTATTAGATGTTGTAATCTATAGTAAAAATGAATAATTTTTGTTTTTTTTTCAGCTTTTGTGAAAACAACAAAAGTAAATAATCAAGAATATGAATTGAAATTGGTTGATACTGCTGGGCAAGATGAATATTCGATATTGCCTACTCAATATTCTATGGATATTCATGGATATGTGCTGGTGTACAGCATTACATCACCTAAATCTTTTGAAATCATACAAATCATCTACGATAAATTATTAGATATGACTGGCAAAGTACAGTAAGTAATTTTTCAGATGTTTATTATTTATTTCAATGTTTTTATCTATTTTTTGCTTAGTGTTCCTATAGTTTTGGTCGGAAATAAAAAAGATTTACATATGAACCGTGTTATTACTCAAGAGGAAGGACACAGATTAGCTGAAACATGGAAAGCTGTATTTCTTGAGGCTTCAGCCAAACAGAATGAGGTAAATTCAAAAAAAGTTAGTAGTTAATTTCTTTTCTAACTTTATTTTTCAGTTATCTATTAATTTATTTTTTTTATATTAATTTTATTAAATATTATTTCACATTTTTGTAATTATGAATTTTCTTCAAGTATAAATTTTATAAGTAGTCAATCACTAATATAAGTACTTATTTAAGATGTGTGATCAAAATGGTTACTTTATTCCATAATCGGTAATTTTTTAAAAAAAAAAAACTTTGTAAAATATGATTTCTTTTAATTATTTAATTTCTTTTATGAACTTTTTGTCTATAAAATTTATTTTAAAGCAAAGCCAATAAGTAAATTTAATACTGTTATTTAATGAGCATTTAATGGAAAATATTAAACACATTTTTTTTTTTTTTAGTGTGTATCAGACATATTTCATACCATGTTAATGGAAATAGAAAAAGAAAATGGTAATGTGACACAAAAAAAACCAAGCTGTAGTATATCTTAAGAATAAAATTGTATCAATGAATGTGTGTTTTTTTTATAAGGCTTAAAATAATGTTTGTATTTTTAAATGAACATATAATTTACCATTCAGTTTGTTGTTTAACTTAGTGTTTCAACATTTTCTATGATGTGAATATTTATTCTTAATTACAGTTAAATGTAATATTAATAAAAATACTAAAATTTATATTTTCTACTATTCATATAAAAAGGACTTAATTTTTTTATAACTTGTTGTAATATTATTTTGTACAATGGGTGCCTAATTTCAAAGTTTAAAATATATATATATCTGGGTGTGTATTTTTATGTACAATTGGTCTTTTGGATAAAATAATATAAATAAACAAACAAATTTTTTATGTTTAGAAAATAAATATTTCTATTAATATAACTGTAAATAAATTTGTAAACATGTATCCTTAAAATACATTATTTATAAAAATGGTATGGTAATTTGTAAAATAAAATAAATTAATGAGTAAAAATTAAAATTAGTATTTATTTCTTATTAAGTATAGTCCAAAATCCTCGCTAGTAAACAAATAAGTAATAATAAAAATAATTATTACCTAAATATATCGTCGTCCGTGGAAATAAATCTATGTGAAAAAATATTACTTTTCAATAGAGACAAAACAGTTATTTATCTATCTATCTCCATATGACACTAATCTATACACAAACAACAATACCTCCAATTTGATTGTCAGTCATATTTTTATTCACATAGGAGGTATTCTAGAAACGTTTATGATTAGCCCTACACAAGAGAGATTATTTAATTTATATTTCATTAAAAATGGAAGAAAGATAGCACTTAGGAATTTTATTCATGTTAAGGACAATTTTTTTCTGAATTTAGTGATACCAAAACCTCATTTTGGTAATTTTTCACATAGGAGATTTATTACCGCAGATGACATTATTAAACTCTCCTCTCCCCTTATAATTAATTTATCTACACTCTTGATCAGTGCCTGATTTAGGGAGGTACCTTGGTAACTAGTCACCCATCCCCAATTTTGAGCGGCCCTCATATTTTTTGGTAGTTTGTAATATTTTTGAATATTAAAACTTTGTAATTATTTCAATGCAACGTTAAATATTTTTTTTTATAGAATCATAAAATTTAAAAAAAAGAATGATAAAAAAAGTCATAATATTATATAATATAAAATATTATCTATGATATTGACTTCGTAAATTATTAACATTTAATAATGTATAATATATGAACTATAAATATTAATATTACCAACAATAATTATTAATCAAATTAAAAACAATAAAACTATTAAAGATAATTTATAATTTTAGGCAACAATTATCGTCATCCTTTACTGTTTCTTGGTAAAAACTGAGACAATAAATACTATAATTGTAAACAAATCAATCAGTTGTTTGAGAGGGTCTATTCTATTTATTGAACTATATGATTCAAACAAAATGCGATTAATGTTCGTACATGCATAGTGCATGTTATATTTGTCAATTATTAACGTTATTTTCATTATAGACAAAAATATTTCTGCAATAACTTTGTGAGTGCTGTTTCACGCTTTTATCAAGTACAAGATATATTTAGATTAAAAATAAAATTTATGGGGAGTGCCAAAAAACTTCAAATTAAAGTTAACAATAGAAAAAAAATTGAAAAGGTTTTTTGACAATTATGTAACGAAAAAATTATTAACATCAGAAACCTTAATAAATGAAACAATAGAAAATAATTTAAATATTAATTGTGAAACATGTTATGCGCTGGTAAGTATTTAATCTTGTAAATAAAAGTAACATGTAATTTTAATTATTGTTATTGAATATTTTTACATTTTGTAGATTTAATTGTTAAAAACTTTGATACTAGTTGTACTTGTACCCAAAATGAGTTTGGATTGACCAAGTGGTTCATATAGAAAATAATATTATTAGTGTTGATAGGTGTAAAGTTGATTTAAGCTCATTCATAAAAGGTAAATAATTGGATACTAATTAAAAAACAATTTGGTGTGTGTATAAGTTAATTATGAATAATTTTGTAAATAAAATTGTAAATAAATTATAACAAATATGAAAATATGTTGCGTGTCTTTGTTCACTAACATTATTGGTTTTAACGAATAATTTATAATGTTTGTTCTTGTGTTAAATGTTTTTGTTATATATGTTTCAGATGCTCAAAATTTTCTAAAACTAGAAATATGTTTTAAATACTTGTGATTTCAATATTGGTCAGATTATAAATATTTTCTTAATTTTTATATTATACTATATTTGCATGTATATTTGTGTATTGTGCTTTGTATAGCAAATTTTAATCTAACAAAATTAATAATATATTTCAATGTAATTAATTACCTATATTTTTTATTATGTTAATTCAATAATCTTATATTATTTTTATAATTTATTAGATAATTTACATTAAAATAATAATTATAGTAGGTAATAAATTTGTATAAAATATTATAATTAAGTAAACTAACAATAATTTTCGGTTGTTATTAATAAAATTATAAAATTATGTTATTATTAAAATCGTTAGGTTGTGGAAATGATGAAATAGATTACAAAAAGTTGAAAAAAATGTTACTTTATAGCCATTAAAGATCTCAAATGAATTTCAAGAATTTTTTGTGATGAATCTAACTCAAATCTAATCATCCACTAAAAAACAAATAATTAATATATGTAAGTATATATAAATCTGATAAGACACGTTTGGGCATATGGTGCTCAAATCTGAGATTGCGCCAAGGCATCAAAATTAAAAAATATTCAATCAATCCAATCAATTTGTCTGCGTCAAACAATTCTGCTCCTTAGTTCATCAGCAATCACTCTCTCCATAAGGACCTAAATATTGAGACAGTCGAAAACCTAACCATAGCACACTACAAAAAATTCCACTCCAGACTATCTCTTCATTCTAACCCACTCGTTTCCAACCAGTACTCTTTAACGCTTCCACGTCGTCTCAAAAGACGCTGGTGCCGTGAACTTCTTATCTAGGCACTTCACCCAAATATATACTTAACAAAAGATTCCTATCACTGGATGGCTCATCACATGATCTTGTTTGTTGATTATTTTATATTGTTTTGCGAATTTCCTTATTATGCAAAAGATTGCACAGATTGTAAATGTTTTATTTTTATAATAATAAAAAAAAAAAATTATTACTCGTAGGTAGGTACATAATATTACATACCATAACAAAGATATTCAAACTGTACGTTGTGGCTCTCATTTACGTCATGGGGACTACCTAAAGGAAAGAAAACAACCGAACAGGAGAACAAGACAGAATTAATTTAATAAATTAATATAAATATTCAGAATTCGATGGTTTTTATTCAAAATTTAATTATAATTGTTTTGGATTTACATCCATATGACCATTTATTAAGTATATATTACCAATAACTAGTAATATATAGTCAATGTACGACCAATTGGTATATTAATATATTTATTTGATTTTTTTTTCTTGTAACAATAATTCGGGAACAATCATAATATGTAAAAACACTGAGGTATGCCGTGATATTAGGGCCATTGTAAAGGAGTGGGGAAGAAAGAGACCATTTTGCCCTCTTAAAGTCCAGATTGATTAGAAAAACTTGGCGTTACCCATTAGAAATTATTACTATTCTAAACTATTTTTCTTTATGAAATATTAAATAAATTTAATTAAATAAAATTAACTAAATTTATATTTAAACATAAATTATTTATTGTACTAGCTACATTTTCAGTTAAATATATAGGTAGTTTTAATTTTTATTTATTATTATTTTTTTAAAATTGTAATTTATATTTTATTATTGTTATTGAAGCAGTGTGAAGAACGACATCATTTTATTCAAATGTACGTAGGAATTAGTTATCGCAAATATCGACGCAATAACATCCAAGTTTGTATTTTCTATGGCTGTTAATAAATTATCTTGGAATACATTTTTATTAAAGGTAGCAACCAGATTCGTCCCGAAGATGAAAATCAAGGGGAGTGAATAATATGAAAAATGCCGACTACAAGTTTTTTACTCATGTATGTAGTATAATTAACTATATATAGTCGTATTTTTACTTTTTAACATGTATTTATGTGTCAGTGTTGCACGTTTTTAAAATTGGCAATTTAATTATATATTTATAATATTTTATATTGTATAATAAGTAGTTATACAAATTTTATTCGTGTACACTGTATTACGAAATATGTAATATTTGTTTTCCATAAGCAAAATTAGGTCCTTTTAGGCTATAATGAAACAAGTCCAACTGCCGACTGGTATTTTCGTTGGGGGGAGATATCCCCCAAGACCCCTCTTCGAGACGGCTCTGGTAGCAACTGGTAATACGTTGTTGAAGAGTTATTAAACATTTAATTCATTCTATCGATTAATTTAAATGACTGATTAATAGAAGTTTAGATACTAATATATTTACCAACATTTTGCAAACTCGGTGTGTATTTTTCTACCATATTCGTATATTATTGTGATGATTGAGGGGGCCTTGAATTAATTTGCCCCAGGGCCTAAAAATCATTTGAACTGTTCTGCGTGGTACGCAATGGTATGCTAATTGAATACTTCTGAATTATAATAATACCAGAATTATTAGAAGACGTATGGCTTAAATCGTATTCGATTGACAGTGCCAATAAACGATTAGAAATTAGAGTGTAAAATGTTCAAAAATGTACAATGAATTAAATAACGTAACGATCAAAAACCATTACGCCAATATTTGGTGGAAAAACCATGGATTGCGTAATAGATTCCTAAAAAGAAAATATCCACGGATATATTTTTCTCCATGAAATAGCATCAATGTTCGTGCTTATGTGCTTGGCGAACTAAATTCCTTCACCGCTTACTATGCAAAGGTGCATAATCTACGTCAAAAAAACAATAAAAAATTACATATAACGATTACGCTTACACGACATGGGTACATGGTCATGAATGAGGTGATCAGAGTGATCATTACTCAAGAAAATGCCGCCGAAACAAAGAAAAATCGCCATCATGGGCTATCGTTCAGTCGGTATGTAAATATTCTGATTATTTCTATGGATTCGTCCATAGGTTTTAATGCTAATATTTACAGATATCTACGTTTTAATTCTATTTTTGTTGTGTAGGCAAATCGTCACTGAGCATCCAGTTCGTTGAAGGTCAATTTGTAGATTCTTACGATCCAACAATTGAAAATAGTAAGTTTGTCCATAACATCAAATGCGACTAGTATGTAATACTATATGACCGCATCGTTGAGCAAGTTTAAAATATTTTGATTATTTTTCATAGCGTTTGTGAAAACTACTAGAGTGAACAATCAAGAGTACGACTTAAAATTGGTCGATACAGCTGGACAAGATGAGTACTCGATTTTGCCCACACAATATTCTATGGATATTCATGGATACGTACTAGTCTACAGCATTACATCACCAAAATCTTTTGAAATCATACAAATAATTTATGACAAACTTTTAGATATGACCGGCAAAGTACAGTAAGTGTAGGGTTTTATTAGTTGATAATATACCTTTGGTTTATGTCCATTTCATTTTACAGTGTTCCTGTAGTATTGGTTGGAAATAAAAAAGATTTGCATATGGATCGTGTTGTTACACAAGAAGAAGGGCGTAGGTTAGCAGATTCTTGGAAAGCTGTATTTCTTGAAGCTTCGGCCAAGCAGAATGAGGTAACTTCAAAAAAAGTTAGTAGTTAATTTCCTTTTTTATTTTATTATTTAATATTATTTGTTGTTATATTAATTCCTAATTTTGTATAAATGTATTGTGTTCCATACTACATACTTTTTTTAAATTACTCAATTCTATATGTAAGTATATGCTAAAAGAAAGAGTCAAGGATTAGTTTATAAAAAGTATGTTTTTTTAAATTTTAGTGTGTAGCTGATATATTCCATACCATGTTAATGGAAATTGAAAAAGCTAATGGAAATGTTCAAGAGAAAACTGGTTGCAGTATATCATGAAAGTGCAATAAAACCACACCAATGACTTTATTTTATTATTATTATATAGCCAAATATGTTACTTACATTTGTATTAATTAATACATTTAAAAATATAATTGTGAAGATTAATTATTATTGTTTAATTATTTAATCATATATTTTGTATGTATTGTGAATATATGCTAATGATTTCAAATCATAAAAACAATTATAAAAACATAAACAAAACTTTTTTTTCTGTCCTTATTCAAAACCTTTTATTATATTAAAATATTTTTGTATTATATTTTATTTTTTACTCATAATTGTTGATTTTTATTCTCAATATATGTTTTTTTATAATATTATTGTTCAATTTAGAGAATATTTTTACAGAAAAATGTATTTGTATAAATTTGATGTATAAAGTAACAATAAAATGTGTATTTTTAAATAAAATATGTTTTATTATATTTTCATTAATAAGTTACAACTATTAACTATATATTTTGAACAAGACAAATTTGTTCTTTGTATCAAACTTGGTAATTATTAAATCTTAAATGGGACAAGTTAAAAGATTTAAAATACATTTAATTATTTATAACATTTAATTTATTTATGTATTAGATGTGTTGATCACCAATACACTTAATGATCGATATCAGAAAAATATTGATTTTATACCAATTTTGAGTGCATATTAATTCATAATTATTAAGTAAATTATTAGTTATTATTAAAATATAAATTACAGATTTTCTTCTTTTTACATACCTATGACTTAATGATATTAATACGACTTTACTATAATCTATTGGCATCCGTCAACCATTTTTATTGTTCATTTTCAATATTGTTCAGTTCCAAAATCAGGATATTTTTTAATATTAATTTTAGATATTGATATAGAAAATATTAAGAAAATCATAATATCGCTGACCACCACAATGTATTTTAAAGTCAGTTAAGACGTTGCTAAAAATGTTACCAAAAAGTATTCCAACATTTCCAGTAACAAGTTGCTCGATACTTATCAACATCAGGGGCAGTGGTGTATTAGAGGGTATACGGCGTATACCCAATACGCTATTTTTATCCATGGCGTATAGCTTACGAGAAATTGGTGATACACGGGTATACGGCCGTATCTCGCGTATAATATAGCTAGGTTACCATATATAATATATATATATATATATATATATATAATTATAGTGCCTTAATATAGCTTGTAATTTGACAAATAACTATAATATTTTGACTAATCTAACTTGCGGTTATATTTATGACGTGATTCGATATCGGATATATTATTATTATTATTATTATTTTTTTTAATGAAAAATTCAAATTTGTTGTCATTTAACAAGTTTTTGTTATCAGTCATAAATAAGGATGTGTAGTTTATGAGTGAGTTTTGTTGGTTTCTGCCATATGATAGTTACTACATGAAATAACGCGAATACCCATGATTTATTTTAGCAATACGTCACTGATCAGGGGGCATGATATCAAAGAAATTTGCTGCGTGTTGCTTATATCGATATCTTCCATTCTACATGGAAAAAATATTATGAATAGACATTATGTTCTGACTTGTACACTCGATTTATACATATTTGTATTATTTTTTTAAAACATATGCATAATGTTTGGTCAAAAGAGCTCATGATAGAACTAATGAAAATGCTGAAAGGTGCTTCTGCCTTGTGGGACATACAGGCCAAAGTAAATCGGAATAGGAGCTTAAAGTTCAATGAAACTCTCAAAATAGCAGCACACTTAAAAAAAAAAATGTGAATGAAATATCAAGGAAATTAAGTTCTTAAAAACGCAGTTTAGCCAGGAACGGAAGAAAATCGGAGAGAAAAGTATGAGTGGAACAGCTACAATTTCGGAAGACAATATATGGTTCGGACTGTTGTGGATTGCGGACGTGCATCTATTGGTTCGAAACATACCACACAGATTACAACATGTATTCAGACACAAGTATCTCAACCCCACAAATTGTTGCCGACATCTTGTAAAATCTAGTTAACAGTAGAAAACATGTTAATGTCTTGTCTGTATATACCTTCAGGTAATAAAATATTAAAATTTAGCAATGTGTAGATATTTTTATTAATATATTAATTATTAGTATTTACAACTACAACCAATATTCAAAGAATTTAATATTTTCCAAGATTCTATTTTTATGTTAAAATGTATAAGTTGTTTATTGAGCAAGTTAAGAATATGAAATTTGTAAACAAATTAACTATAAAACTAAACTACCTAACCAGTATTTGCAACTTATTTAAAAATATTCAACCATTAATACTTACATTAATCTTCTAAAATTGTGATGCAAAGAAAAAATTAGTTAATTATTTTAAATTTAGAATATTGGAAAATAGGATATGTACAAGCACAATGTAACAACATCGGAGTATGGAATTAAAAATATATATTGCACTATTACAAATTGCAGTTCAAAAAGCGTTTAAATATTTTAAAAATATATAAGTATCAATTATTACATATTTTATACTTCTAATGATTGAAATTTAGTATACCTTCTTTTTTTAATTTAAAATTAAATATAGACATATATTTAATATGTACAGGTACAATTAATCGTAAAAATATTTACATTTCTTTTGGGAAAGGTTTCTTAGATTCGATAATTTTATTAAGATTATTCATTAATTTAAGTTTCAATAAAGACAATTAAACAAAAAAAATACAGAAAATAGTGGGTTTGACATTAAAAATGACGTTTAATATAAATATGGACGAAAATCTCGAAGTCAAATAATCCAAAGTAAACTATTCATTTTATAATCTATTTTTAAATTTTCGAATGCAAAAAATATGTTATACAAGCATACGATCCAACGTCAAAGTTAATTGCCAGTCACATATAAAATTTTAAGACCAGCGCTTATATTTTGAGATGGCTGCACTTAATTTTCAAGTCCCGGAAAAACACATATATTGATTCCAATAACGAAATAAATTAAGGGTTTTTTCGTTAATTTTAATTATTATTTAAACTTGGAAACCGAAGGTATTGTTATTGATTTTAAAATTCAAGTATCTAAATAATTAAATATTATAGTGATAAAATAACAAAAACATTTTGAAATATGAACCCAAGTTGAAATGTTCTAGAAGTTTATTGGAGAACAAAATAAACGAGATTTTAATATTTTATTTATTTTCATCGAGAAAACGTACCTTGCTCGATTGTGATGTTGGCGCGTGCGGCAGATGCCGGTCTGGTCATCCTCCCCCTTGAATAGACGACCCTTTCGAAGGGTTGTACGCGTGGGGGTGACCGTCGAGCGCATGTGCGTAGCAGAGTTAAAAACGTCAATAGGATAATGCCATTTGCTGCAGTGCACATCGGCAGCGTCTTCTCAAGAGTTGCTTCGATTTTTTGTTAGGAAAAATTGTCTATCCAACGACGAATAGTTGCAAACCACACAACACGTCGCTGCTGTCACCATCATGGTGGAGCCGGAAGTCGAAGACGTAGCTTTCCTGACAGCCATCAATCACTATAGTAAGTACTGCTAAATGTGCACATAAAATATTATAACACACTAAAATGTTATTTAACGCCAGAATCTTTTTTTATAAGTTACTATTTACGTCATAAAATCATACGTAATAACGTTTTATTTTGTCTTCTTGCTATAGGAGACAATCAAGATATGTTGCACAAGTCCGGAATTTATGAGCACACAGCCGTCACGGCGTGTTCACGAAGAACTGCGTTAATAATGACCAGTGCCACTCTGTTTTTGATGTTTCTCTGTTCTGTGATCATCGCCTACGCAGGACCTCAAAACGGTTAGTGTATAATATAATATATCCTTGTGTGATTATCGTAAAATGGTTAACACTTGTTTTATAGAACTAGAAGTTATTATGTTTCACCACACGCACGCGATCTAACTTACACCTATAATTATCCACTTACGTTTGTTCAATTTTCTACAACGTTTTCACCTATAAAAATCAGTAGATAGCAATTTATTATCGATACTGAAATAATTTATTTGAATTATCAATTCACCATAGACATGCACATGTATAAATTATAATATAGAGGTACCTAAAATAATACATTTGTACCGTTTGAATTTATAGAAATTTAATGACATTATTTGTTGCATGTTGCGGTAACAAGTGTTTTTTTTATCGTCTATCTCTTCTTATATACCTGTAGTATAGACGTCGAGTTCATGCAATAGATTGTTAGCATTTGATGTATCAATCCACAAAAACTAAATATACAATACAATTTGAATTAAGCATATGAGTATAGGATATAGGTACGATAGAACTTGGAACTGATTTTAGTGTTTTTTTCAAGTACTTATTGGATATTCTAAAATATCTAATGGAATACTTAGATAATATGATAATACATAAAAACATTTATTATAATAATTAGTTCTATTAAAATTTCATTGCGTTTATCTTGCAAGCTAAAATTAAAAGTATTTTTATAAAAAAAAAGGTTCGCTAACTAAACTTTTATAAGTATTAAAATTATACCAGTTGATACAGCGCCAGATCGATGGCTTTTAGGACTCAGTGTAGAATTTGTCGAGGCCCCATATATATTTATTTTATATATTTTATACATGGGCTTTGGTACAATCTTGATTTTCGTCGATAATAACATTAATTTACACTTTTTCCCGGCAATAATATTCTTATAAGATTATTTATAGATAAAGTGATATTTGTGATACATAATATGTGGAGTCCCATAAAAGCATGGGGCCCGGTGTGATCGCACTACTTACTTCCCCTTCACATAGGTAAAAAATTATTTTGTAGGGCCCAACATTTTAATTGCCAAGGGGCCCACAAATGTTTAATCCGGCACTGCAAGGTGGGCAGCTGCTCTTCCCGCGGGTTGAATTATTCTCCCAGTTTTAAAAAAATATAATATAATTTTTTATAATAAATTATGGATAGACATTGCGTGTGCTGTGTGTCGTGTCCCGCGTACGATGTGTTTATATTGATCAGCTTCACGCATTGCGCGCTTCGTGAGATACCACAGTGACAACGATTTTGCATGGATAGGTACATGGCAGTCACAGTGGTTTATTAACAGCAAGTATTAACTCCCCCTAAAAGAAGAATGGTACTCTGAACGGCTAATTGATTAATTTTTGTTTAGCAATTGTAAACGATGTGTTTTATTTTCTTCTTTTGTACAAAGTAGAAGTATTATATTATTAAAATACAGATATTCTGTGAAATTTAAATTATCATTTGTGTTTGAGTTCATGATATACTTGTACGGAAAAAAATATCTTCATCGTTAAAACCTAACCTATAGTATAATTGAATAATTAATATTAAGTAGACCTTTTATATATTATCTGCCCTCCCCCCTGTCAGCAAGGTCACCACACGCTTATACCTATCCCTAAATAACCCATCTAGATAATAGTTCAAATGTTTTAAATGCAATTCAATTGGTTATATAAAAGTTGTTATCAAATATTAGTGATATCAAATTTGCTATGACGCACAAATATTATAAACGACTATTTTTAATATTTTTACCAACTCAATTAATCAGTATATAAATATTATCAATTCAATAAGCTAAAATAGTATACTGCATAGTGCATAATACAGACGACCTATGGCGTATTTACAAGCAGTTAAAATAACAGCTAACTACTAACTCGATAAAATATCCATTTGGTTCTGATATATTCGGTAAATAAACAAACAAATATTGGTGTTTGAACTTTAAAAGTACTTCTACAGGCTATTATTAGCAATAAAATAAATTCCCATGTTATAACAAGAGATGGGCAAAATACATCGATTTTTTTAAAAACATCGATGTTTTCGTTTGATATATCGTAACCCTACATCGATGTTTTTATTGCGATGTATTGAAAAAAAAAATTGATTTTTTTTTTCTTATCCGAAGTCCGAATGTTTAAATAACGTATTTATTTAAACATTTAAATTTTAGATTTGAAAACATCTTCAGTATTATTAAACAAGTCATAATATTATGGCTGTTGAAAATGTCAATTGATTAATTCCTGGAACGCTTGACTATTATTGAGTGAAATGTTCACTTCACTCAATAACAAGAATTTGTTTTTAATTTATTGAAGTCCTTCAAATATTCTAACCACGAATTGTAGCAAGTCATATCATTAACTTGAAACATTATGCGGATGATAGTCCACTTTTTGGATTTTATAAATTTCTATAATATGCATTTAACTGGTCTTTTTTTTTTACCCCTCCCATATTTTTATTATAAATCTTTATGATTTCAATCTGTTCTATATATAGTATTTTTATCTTATATTTTAACTTTGTAAATTTCTAGTATTATCTTGGTATAGTTTCTACATTTCTTATTTTCGTCTTCATTTGAATCAAAGAATTAACAGTAAAATAGTTTTAACGTAGGTAATTTGAATGTTGTTACAATTTTAGAATAACACCAGGCGTATCCCTCCTTCCCCCATTAGAATCAACACTATGAGAGTAACGTCCACTCATTCATCCTCATGAAGCAGATTAGCTAACCGAAATATTTACGAATATGTGATACGCATTGATATAGGTTTCAGTGTCGTTTGAATGATAATAAATGTTAAATTAAATTAAATAAATCGCCCAATGTTAATATATTATGATGGTTTAATCAAAAGTTAAAAGATAATTTAATATGGAGAAATTTCCAATACATTTATTATTACATTTTTAAAATATAATGATATTAAGAATACTAAAATAATTTGTGTTATGATGGGTAGTACAAAATAATGTTTTATTAGTAATGTAAAATTAATCTAAAATATTTTTTTACTAAAATTTTGTTGGTTTTTTTTTCTTGAAATATCGAAAAAAACAATTGGATTGTATGTATTAAAAATTTAACTGCACAATAGCCGAATACAATCCAATATGATTGATTAAAGTTCATTTTCTGGAAGTCAACTATAATGTACTAAAGGGTTCAACGGAAAATCACGAATCAATAAAACATCACTTTTTACAAATTATTATTATTATATAAATACCAGTAAATATATTTAAGAAAAAATTATATTATTGCGTTTATCACGTACATTTATAAAAATTTTCGAGAAAATTAATTTATACTTTTTCAGATTGTCCGTGTATTGGCGAAAAGCCAATATTTTTACCAGATGATGATGGAGTCAATCGATCTCGGTCAGTTATACCGATTGCTACAAATGGCGATATATTTCCATGGAACAACGTACGTCTTCCTACATTCGCTAGGCCATATAGTTATCATATTAGAATTCATCCAAATTTAACCAATTTAGACGTAAAAGGTACATGCATAGTTTTAATTAAGTTAATAGTTTCAATAGTAAAACGGAAATTTAAATTTCAGGGCAAGTATTAATAAATTTTAGGCTTACTCGAGATACAGATTATATAGTCTTCCACAGTAAAAATCTTACTATAGTTGAAAAAGTGAGTTTTAAGTGAAAATAGTTTGATTGAAAATGCGTAATTGAATAATTTGTATTCAACAGCGTGTAGTAAATGCAAATAATCATGAAATAATTTACGAAGTATCCAGAATGCTGGAATATTCTGCTGGTCAGCAAATGTTATTGGAATTTGAAGAATCTTTATCCGCAGAACACAATTACACGTTAATTATAAAATACACAACCCGGTTGAGTAGAGAGTTGGAAGGTTTTTATCTGAGCAGTTATACAACGAGTAATGGCGAAAGAAGGTAAGCAAAATGCAAATTTAATAGGTAACAAGCGATCTACAACTAAAATAATTTTAGATACTTGGCCACGACTCATTTCGAACCAACATACGCCCGTTCAGCGTTTCCATGCTTTGACGAACCTCAATTCAAAGCTAGGTTTCGTATGTCGATTTTAAGGAATAGGTTTCACATAGCACTGTTTAATATGCCGATCAAGGAATCCGTGGACGATGGATTGTATATGGGAGTTGGGCTAGTAAGAAATTTTTTTTAATATATTAATACCGACAAAATAAAAACTATCACGTATCATAATATTTTAGATGCGAGACGATTTTGAAGAATCCGTAGAAATGAGTACTTACCTCGTAGCTTTTGTTGTCTGCGATTATCAATATGTACATGCGCAGACTTCGCAAGGAGTTGCTGTACGAGTATATGCTCCACCCGAATTACTGTCCCAAACTTCGTTTGCTTTAAACACTGCCACCAAAGTTATGGATCATTACACAGAATTCTTCGGTGTACCATATCCGTTACCAAAACAAGGTACTGATTCTTTAATACCTATTAAAAAATTTAATTTGTTTAAATTAAACAATATTAATTGAATGATAATGCGTAGACTTAATCGCTATACCGGATTTTGGTGCTGGAGCAATGGAAAACTGGGGCCTTATCACGTATAGAGAGACTTCAATACTTTATGATGAAAATGAAACATCAGCTGCTGCACACCAGTGGGTAGCTGTGGTGGTTGCCCATGAATTAGCCCATCAATGGTTTGGAAATTTAGTGACAATGCGTTGGTGGAATGACTTATGGTTAAACGAAGGATTTGCCAGTTTCTTGGAATACCGCGGAGTAGAGCACGTGATGCCTGGGTGGTCAATGATGGCTCAATTTGTGTTAGATAAGACCCAACAAGGATTGAAGCTCGATGCATTGTCTACTTCGCATCCAATCAGTGTTAGTGTTCATGATCCAGTAGAAATCGAGGCCATATTTGACTCTATATCTTATAGCAAAGTAATGTATTTAACATTTATTTTGTCGCTAAAATGATTAAAACTAAAAATTATCGTACATAGGGAGCTGCTCTTTTATACATGTTGGAAAAATTCCTCGGGCTGAAGACTCTGAGGAGCGGATTGAACGATTACTTGAATACACATAAGTATAGCAACGCAGAAACTGAAGATTTATGGACTGTGTTAAGCAAACATGCTAATGAAACAGTACAAGTCAAGGTAAAAGTCACAAACATCAAATTTTATGTTTTATTAATATTTATTTAACTTTGTAAAATACATGTATTTATATTAAATATATTTAGCTTATAATGGATACGTGGACACATCAAATGGGCTTCCCAATGATCAAGATAAGCAGAGAAAATAGTTCATCCTCAAACAACGCGGTTTCATTCACTGCAATGCAAAGTAGATTTCTTTTGACATCAGAAATTGCTAATATGGTAAAAAATAGAGCGGAACCGTCTCCATATGGTTATAAGTGGTTTGTTCCATTAAGCTTTTATACAGACATTACCAGTTATCGCGAACAAGAGGTAGTCTGGATGAATATGACTGATGGTTAGATTATAGAAACATATTTTCACAGTTATCTATTAAATATTTAATAAAAATATGAAATTATTAATTACAGTAAGGTTCGAGGTGGATCCTAAAGTGCGGTGGTTGAAAGCTAATGTTAATCAATCTGGTTTTTACCGTGTAAACTATGATGATGGATTATGGAATGAATTAATTGGACAACTTAAACTTAATCATGAAGTGTTCAGTGCTGCAGACAGAGCTTCATTGATCGATGATGTATTCACTTTATGCAGAGCAGGGGTGCTTAACGTGACTGTCCCTTTGGAACTATCTAAATATTTATACAAAGAAAGAGATTTTGTACCATGGGCAACAGCACTCGACCATTTTCAAAACTGGAGCAAATTTTTATCAGAATCATCACCATACAGAATGTTTTTGGATTATATGAAGAATCTTCTAGCTCCGGTTGCAAGATCAGTTGGATGGGAAGACAAAGGAACTCATTTACAAAAGTAAGCATTCTAATTTATTTTATCATTACAGGTATATTGGTAAAATATATGTGTTGACAATTTATAACTAATTTAAAATACAGTTTTTAAAAAAATTAGTTAATTATTTATATATCGATGATCAAAAGTCCAATTGTCGTAACCCTCACTTTGGTCGAAAATAGGATTACCATGAAATATTAAATTTCATATAATTTTCTTGTGATTAACCAATTGTCGTAACCCACCAATATTATTTAACTACTATAATTTAAAATTTAACATTTATTTTAACGTCGTAACCCATAATGACAAATAGTGACAAATGCTGTAAGCCACATAAAAATATAATAAGAAAACGTAAGCCTCGAAACTTTTTTCTTCATTATGCCACATTGTTGTTACCCACATGCTGAAACCTAAAATTTTAATCAATTAATATTCAAAATTTGTTCCTATATGAAATAGGTACACCAATGACATATTGTTAATATGAAACTATTGAATACACAAATAACACAAATATGCAGGGCTGGATTAACTTAGGTGTAAAAGGAGCATTTGCTCCAAGGCAGCAAATTTAGTGGGGTGGCATAAATAAAATAGCCTCAAAAAAATTATTTAAGATTGTCATTAATACAAGAAGAACTATCCAATTTATCAATTTTATGCATAGAATCTGATTTGGTTGAGGAAATGAAGTGAGAAGAACGAACTTAAAAACGTGTAACTATTAAATCCATAAAAAAATATAATTAAAGAAAAATAAATAATATAAAAAAATATAATAATATAAATATATACATAGTTAAATGGTTAAAGTTTTTTTTTTTTTTTTTTAATTGGCGTTAATAATAAAAAAAATTTTGAAAAATTATTTTTTTAATATTAAAGTAATTATTTCTTTAATTATTATCTGAAGATTTTGAAACAATTTATTAATATTATAATTGTATTTTGTCAGTATTTTCCATTAGTTTAAAAAAATTCTTTGCAAAACTATTCTGTGATATTAAACATATATAATATATTATATATTTAACATATATAACTATTTATACTTTTTAGTTTAAGTAGATTAATTATTATATTAGGTACCTATATTTTATAATAGTATTTTAATTTTTTAATTTATACATAGAAATCAGGAATTTTTTTTTTTTTTGGTTTCACTTAAACTAGTGTAACAAATAAATTAAACGGTAACAAATATTTACGGACAGTTTTACTGGCTCTGCAGTAGTGTGACAATTAAAAAAGTAGTGGCAAATTTTTAGTGAAGTTATGAATGTTTGCAAGCTTTTCGGGAGTAGTTTTATTCTTTGGTTGATGATTTCGCCTATTGAATAGCCGTATCAAAATAATATTATTATTGAGTTTCAATTTACTTTATCCACTAGCTTATTATTTTAAAAATAGATATCGCAAACATTTTTACGAAACAATAATGTTTGATCTAAATTTGAATAACTATTACGTACTGTAACCAAAATGTACCAATGTCAAATACAGTAACCCTAATACAAAGTAATACTATTAATAATGCAATTATAAGTATTATGTGGTTAAACGCTGTAACCCTTGACTAGGTCATAAATAAAACTAAATTAACTACACAAATAACTATTATAAACTTTCAATTCTTAAGAAAACTGATTCTCAGGTATCACAGAAAAAATAAATAATTATCTAGTACGATCAAAAATTATTATGCAGGTAAATAAAACGTTTAAACTATCTCTTGTAAAATCATGTTTTTGTGAATTACGACACTTGGCCTTTTGACCATCGATATTATATAAGTACGTGGTCTCATTTTTTATACTTGAATATTTAAAGGGACAAACTGTAGGATGCAACAATTGGTTATTTTTTTAAAAAAATTGTTAATACTATTACATCTATGTAATAAATTAGTTAGAAAATTAATTAATACACTGATTTTGATATTATTGTGTGGTTTTAGATTAATGCGATCAGATATTCTGGCTTCAGCTATATTGTGTGGGATTGAAGACGTTGTAAAAGAGGCGAAAAATAAATTTGACGAATGGATGTACGAAAACAAACGTATACCACCAAATATGAGAGAAGTAATTTATTTAGCAGGTGAGAATATTACTTAACAATTATTTTAATTATTTAACATTAAAAAAATATTTATGCATAGGAGTTAGACACGGAGACGTCAAGGAATGGAATTTTTGCTGGGACAAATATAATCAAAGTCATGTACCGAGTGAACGTAAACTTCTACTTAAAGTACTAGGCACATCTAATGACCCTTGGTTACTTCAAAGGTAAAATATTAATTTGTCTATTGCGCATATTAAGTTTAGAGTTTCAAAGGTACTTTTTTTTATTTATTAGATACTTATCAACTACACTGGATAGCTCAAAAATTAAAGCACAAGATGTAAAAATGGTCTTAGGAGTAGTAGCTTCACAAGGATCACAAGGCCAGTTGTTAGCATGGCGTCATCTTAAAGCCAACTGGAATCATCTACAAACACTTTTTGGGAACGGAACGTTTACAATGGGAGGTCTAATTACAGCTGTAACGTCTCATTTTGCAACCGAGTATGACTTTAAAGAAGTATCCGACTTCTTTCGTAACATAGACGTTGGTTCAGGAACCAGAGCTTTAGAACAAAGTATGGAAATGATACAACTCAATGTACATTGGGTTAACAATAATGAAGCTCAAATATATGATTGGTTGACGAAAAACGAAAAATCTAAGCATTAATTGAACTGAAAATGAATAACGATGTAACTAAAATAGCATATATTTTTGAAGTATTGAACCAAGAAAATGTGTAAGACTGATAAGAAGAAAATGAGAATTAGGAGATTAAATTTGAAGGAATAGAATAATATTTTGACTATGAGAATAAAATAGTCGAAATTGCTAAAAAAACTTATTTAAATTTGCTCTTCAAAGAAATATTGGCAAAACCGTTAATTTTATATTATAAAATCAATGGAAAAACTGATTTTTCCTACCTTTCTAATTTATGCCATTCTTTATACAAAAAAAAAAAAAATATGCTTTTGAACTATTAGTATTATTTGATTTATTATTTTCACATTTTTTATAATTGATAAAATTAAAATTACATATTGGATAAATAAAACTCCAGGGTTTGTGTAATTGTAAAGCTTTTAAGAAATTTTGCAGAATGGTTTGTGTTCACAGGGTCATTACGTAGCAGTAGTATAAAGTGTTCATTTTTAATCTTAAAAATTAGTATTTTTAAAATAACTAAATAATATACAATTGCCAAAAACTTATTTGCTACTGAAATAATTTAAAAATACGTTTTGTTTTATTTGTATTTTCGATATGATATTATTTATCATTTATATGATATAGGTATACTTAGTAAATAACCAAATATTGAAATAAATAAATAATAAAAGCACTATTATAATTTTAGATATAATATTATAAAAATAATATAATTGTATTTTCATTATGTTTATACTTTAAAAAGTTCAAAAGAATTTTCTATAAGTAATTAGATATAATTATTATAACAAAATTATTACAAAATAATTATTAAAATATTATTACAAAATAAATAGTATCATTAATACGAGTGCATTGCCTTAAACTAAAAATATATTATAAAATAATACTAAGCTATACTAAAAAAGGAAAATTTAGTAAGAAAAAATTGATGAAGGATGCTTTTTAAAAATGCACCATTATTTTCATAAAGTAATCAAAAATTAAAGATAGGTAACTAAAATAATAAATTCATAAAAATTACCATATTATTAAAGAAAATATAAATTTACTATAAAATGCTTATCTAAATTTTAGGACATATTGACAGTTCACCAAATACAACTGCTTGTATCTATAATTAATATTTTTAAATATTATTTTAATTTTGTATAACATTATATCAACTCAACTTCTTCTACTATTTGGAGTCGGCCACCCTTGTATCTAAATCTCCACTCGTCTCGATTTTCTATATCTCCATACAATTGATATAGATACACTAATAGCCCTCATATCATTCTCAATCTTATCCAATAATTTCTTTTTTAGCGTTATTTTTTCCCTTTGCCCTTCAACGTTTATTTTAATAACATGCCTAAACCATCTAAGTCTATTTTCTCTCATCTAGTCCACTATCGAAGTTACACCAATACTACTGAACACATATTCTTTCCTTATTCTATCTTCTCTTGTCACTTCTTTTCTTTCATCCATCTAAGCATTCTCATTTCCGCAACACTCATACTTTGTTATATTCTCCTGTCAACCGTCCAACACTCTGAATTAGTAGCATATTTAGTCTCACTACACTCCTGTAAAATCTACCTTACAGCCTCAATGGAATTTTCTTTATATAAAACGACCGACAATTATCTCCATTTTATCCAATCGCGCTTAATTCTATGTTTTACATTCATGCCAAAGCCCCCGTCCTTTCTTTTGTACAAATTATCTTAAATATTTTAAGTTTTCGACTTCACCTATCACATCATTGCTTATTGTTATTGGTCTCCCATACCCTCAATTTCTTGGTGTCATTATATCAACTCAACTACTAATAAATAATAATAATAATATTGTATTGAATAATTTTATTTAGTTTCATGAACAATATAATTAGTTATATTTACCAATTAAACTTTATATTTAAATTATTGTTACATTCAATATTTTAACAAAAGCTTACCTCACATTGAGATATTTATCTGATCAATAGTAAATTATAAATATTTTAATAACTTGTTAAATATTAATTGATTACTGATCTAAGTAATAATATAAACACTGATATATATTACTGCAATAATAAAAAGTTAAATGTATAGCAGATTTTCAAAATCAATTATAATACATTATACATAATTATGAAATACAATAGCACTTTATTTGATGGCACCTACTTTTGTATTAAGAACTAAAAGTAAAAAGTTTTATATATTAAACACATTTTAGCAAATGATAAAAAAAGCTATTTTTTATGTATTTTTAATGTGAATTGGCTTTATTAGGTATTTGCAATATACATTTGATGCATTGTACTCAAATTGTTTGACTAATAATTTAAATACGTCCATATTGTAGTTTGTTGAACTACATTTACCAATAACCAATAATAGTTTATATGAAAATTAAGAATAATATTACTTATAAAATCAACGATGTCAAAAGCAAACTTCCTAAATACTTCTAAAAAAAAATGTTAGACCCATTTGTAATGATAATATATATAACTACATAAATTGGAAATTTTCCAAGAATTATTTATAGAACAAATTAACATCATAATATTGATTTTCTAACAGTACTATTAAATTCTAAATATATAAATTTTTTTGATATATATATTTATTAAACTTAAATTAGTTGTTCAAATTGTCCATTATACTTATATATAATACTTTATTATTTTATTTTGTACTTTTTTAAGTTAATTGAAAATGTATTGTCTAATTTATGTTTATGATCAATTTATAATGTAAAACTCTAATTCTCCCCTGGTTTTTTAAATGATAATTTAATCATTTTTATTTCAATTTTCAATGCAAAATATTTTTTTAAAACAATAAATGCATATTGAACATGATACAAATGTTGAGACAATCTCGATTATGTTTAATTTAAATACTTTGTATTTATACAATTATATAAACACTATATTGAAGTCCTAAAATATCTTTCATATACATATTTAACAACATTTAATACAACATCGACATTTATATTGATGTCTTTGAGTAATTCTTATATAAAATCTTCAAAATAATTTTTAATCCTGTTTTACATAAAAATTTGGCATGTTATTATAAAAAAAAAAAAATACTATACATATAATTCTCATCATGGATGTAACTTAGAAATTTATTAGGGGGGCAAATATATAATTACATATCCAACGAAAAAGGTTTCCGCGGCCAGCTCTATAGCTCGGCCCGGGCAAAATAATTTCAAACGGCCTTAATGGAACAATTAGTACAATAATAAATGGAATAACTAGGTACCTAATCAAATTATTGTTTAACCGAAAATGTATCTTCGTAACTCAAAAAACAATATACACACAAGTACATTTGAATATTTTTAGATTTAATGTTATACCTTAAATAAATCTAGTTTACGCATAATATATCTTATCAATAATATTGATATAATGACCCATCTACTAAGATAAATTTTATATCATAAAAACTGATTTGATTTAAATATGTTTATACATTTAATTTTAATTGTGTTAGAACAGTGGGGTAGGCAACTAATATCTCTTTTATGCGGCCTGCAGTAAATTTCATAACTAGCAAATGCCATTAAATATCATATAAATTTTTTATATTATTTGACCCTAGAACCATTTTTAATTTGTGAATGTGGCCCAAAGGTCCATAAAGGTTGCCGATTACTGAGTTAGAACATATTGTTTTTAATAAAATAATTGTTTACCGGTAATAATTTACTTACTATAAGTCAACAGAAAAGTTGGAAACTAGTAACAGACTTGTTATTGACTGAACGTCAAAACTATTAAAATTTTTTTAAATAAAAGTCTAATAAATCTAATAAAAATTATTATTATCGAAAAACAATTTTGTTATTGCATATCTTCCATGACCGTGTCTACCCATACCATTTTCTTTTGGTTAAATGTTGTTTGAACAAACGCGAACGGTACGTCGTATGATTAACATATTGTACACATCTTTAGTATTCAAATTTCATACAATTTTTCTATTTATAAATATTGTGATGAAATCATTGTTATCAATCGGCCTATCGTGACATTAAATATGTTCAATTTTCAAACTCCGAGTTATCTAATTCTGTGTCACCACATCTATTAGTAATGTCATATTACAAGGCGATATTCTTTATTTTAAGGATAGAAGATAAACGCATTAAATTAAAAACAAAAAATTCTAAGTAATTTTATTTAACTAAAATTACAGCAGCCCATCGGGGCATGCTTTGGCCCCCAATGATATAGATCCTTGAATTATATAAGACAAATACATTCTCCGATTTGTATAAATCTACATTTTTAATAAGCATATATTAATACAGTCTTTATCAAAATGTGTTGACCTTATAATACATATTTAAAATTAGCCATTTATACATTCACACAGAATCACATTCCAAGCTATTAAAATAATTCACATTATTCGTCAAACACATTTTTGTTTCACCAATCCCCATAATGATAAATATACTCTTTATAAAAGATAAATATCGTCTTTATCCATATCTGACATCCAATTTGATGAGCATATTTTAAACATTCGTGATGGGCTCCTATTATAGCATCAGTACACATAAAACCTGAACCCGGATTTGTATTATATATTTTATACAATCCAAGTAATCACTATATGTAGACGTGAACATAAAAACTTGGCTCATGGGCAGGCCTGTATTTAGGGGGGACATGGGTAGGTACATACCCGGAGGCGTCAAGTCTCAAGGGCGGCAAAATATTTTAACAAAATTAATTTTAAAAATTATGTACCAAATGAAAAAAAAAATAAAACAATAAAAAAAAATAGTATGTTTTATTATGTTATAATTTGTAAATGAAAAAAAATTGTATTTTTATTATATTAATTATATTATAATTTGTTAATTAAAAAAAGTATTAAATGATTTTCATTTATAAGTATAATATTTAATATTTAAATATTAAAGAATCTTGTTTATGGACAAAATAATAAGTCTTATATTATTATTATTTATTTTTGGGCGGGGGCATAAATTATATGCCCGGGGGTGCAAAATTTTTAAATATGTGTTTGCTCATGGGACATACATTTGTGAGCATATTGCAAACATTCTGAATGCCCACCTAATGCTGCATTGTTACTTGTGTCCTTGCTTCTAAAATATCCATTTTCATGGACAAACGTCAGACAATATAGATACTCATACTTGGCAACATCCCTACACAGGAGTTGATATTTCTCATGATATCTACTGAAACACGTTTTAGAATATGGATGATCTGTCATATTAGTGTTTCTTTTAATGATTTCTAATAAACCAAGACAACATTCTTGTACGTCAATTTTTGGTGTCATTACATGAATTTTAATGATAATCAGGACAAGCTATATATGCTAGTTTCTGCAATGAGAACATAGTACGAGGATCAGAGCCATCTGAATAAATTAAAAAGTCCTGAAAAAAAAATAATGTTAGTTAACCATATAAACAGCAGATATATTTAATTTGATATTTACCTCGGGCTTTCTGAAGTCCATGCACAACGAAGAATTATCAGTGGGATCAGTCAATTTTAGAAATTAACTTCAATGGAAATATTCTGCAAGTAAACAATGTAGCAATATTTATTGGGTACAATGTGTAGTTAAAAATTTGAAACCGATGGAAGACGACCCAATTGTTGTACAGTCATGAAAATATTAACTTGTATAATGTTGTGGCGCTAGATAGAAACAACGATATCCGGACCGAATTGAATAATTATTCGTCCGATGCAAGAGGTCGCGAGTAATAAGTACTTCCTCGTAGGAATGCATTCAACTTTTTCATTTGTAGGGTTAACTCAGCTTACAGGGAAAAGTTGGGAAAACGCTCGGGGGCACAACGAATACTATATACCTATGTAAGCAAAGCCTGGACGGCGACACAAGAGGCCTTACGGGTTTCTATACGTCCAAACGTTTCAACAGTCGGCTGCCGAGCCAACATTATTTTATACGGCCGGGCGAACGTTGCGATGGATGTTACCACAGAACCGATGTGTCTTGCGCGCGTTCAAACGTTGCCAGCAGCCGGTAACGGACGTAATGGACACGGCACCGTTGTTCAACGATCAAATCAGAGCATAAGGGATGGTTCTGTTTTGGTAGCCGGGCCATAGAACAAGACGGCCGTACGTTAAAATACACGTGAATTAAGGCGCAATAACTGAATCCAGGAATTTGATCTATAGAGTGATTACTTTAAAAGTAAGTAAATAATAAAACATATACCTACATAGTATAACTAAACTCTTCGACCATATAAACTAAGTTTAGAACACGATTAAAGATAAGATCTTAATTATCTTTAATCGTGGTTTAGACTAAACCGATCGCACTGTCGCTACATCAGCTTTACTGTTATCATAGACCTTATACCAGATGACTGTTATACGTTATATTATCTCATTCGTGGTATCAGCAGCAGCTGCTCGATGCACAGAACGGTGCACGTTTTCTGTACAGAGAACTCGACCGTACGGTTGTCATTTCGCGGCCCCGTTCCGTTTCACACGCGATAATATTATCTTAATTCGTGGTTTCAAAATTCTAAATGATACCACCCGTTCGTTGATAACGATCCCGCACTTCCGCAGCGGTCCGCTGGACAATCATGGCCAAATATATCGTACAAATAATAATCATCGGGTCCCAGATTGTCGGCAAGGCGTTGACCAAAGCATTGAAGCAGGAATATGCTGCCAGCCAAGAGGCCTCCAGAAGGGCCGGTGGGGGACGTGCCGGTGCGGCTCAAGCTGCGGCTAATGCCAAGGCCGGCATAACGTTGGAAGAGGCCAAACAAATTTTGAATGTCAAAGGTAAGTGACTAGTTTGCCCTTAACATTTTTTGTCTCATGTAGAAGATACGAGTAGGTAGATTGCGGTCTCGTACTGGTCTAAAATTTCTTTGCCGATCATCTTTGCATCTCTCTGCAGTCTAGGCGACACATTTTGTTGATAATGTTTCGAGTTCGATCTGTAAACGGCAACTGACTAACCGAATTCATCTACTGCTGCCTAGTGTAAATGTGTCTCAATATAAATCCAATGCATTAATCTAACCTAGAACCTATTAAAGATTAAATAATAGTAAAAATAATTAAACAGAAGTAGTTAACCATTAATTTGTCCAAGCTAATATAAATTGTTATTGTTAGTTGTTTGCTTATTATGCTTTTATTTTAGAAACACGTAACAATATACAGGATTTATGTAAACTGAGAAATATTGAACTTAAAAATTGTAGTAGAAATTAGTAAATATAAGATATAAGTTAACTCATAATCAGGTAACTAGAAACAAATTATATTTTCATGAAATTGTATACAATATTTTTTTTGTTATCGTGATATTTGTTTACTAATTAAATTATTGTACTTAAATATATGTTAAATAAACCTAAAAACACCAGCATTAAGGTATTAAAAAAGTAAACAATTATTCCATGATTATTTTGCTCATTTTAATATTTGATAATTTTATGTATTAAAATTAATTTTATTATGTTTGTGTTTATTTATAAAATAATAAAATCTAAATTTTCTGTTTATTAAAATATATATTAAATCTCCAAAAAAGTATCTATTATTTTTGAAGTAATATTTTAAATGATAGTTCATGTATTAACCATCTATAATTAGATCATAACACATATTGTGTAACTTGTTTATGTTGGTACATATGCGTTTAAAACATTTTTAGTTAAAATATAACTTTTTCTTTAAAGTTTATATATTTTATTTATTTATGTATTATCATTATTAATATATTTATTTATTTAGCCAACAATTGTATAACCATGCTAATAAAAAAATGTTATATTTCATTAAGTTTTTTTGCATAGTCTATTACTAATAAAGATTGAAACAAATCTTCTGGAAAATATTTATAAATTATTTATTATACATTTGAAACTTTTTCAGACATGACCCAAGAAGAAATCCAAAAGAGATATGAATATTTATTTAGCATAAATGATAAATCCAAAGGAGGTTCATTTTATTTGCAATCAAAAATATACAGGGCTAAAGAACGACTTGACAAAGAAATTACTAATAAAAGTGAAAAAGCTTAGATAATGAATGGTAGTTGGTATGTTCATTTTATATGTTTATAAAAATATTCCACTGAACATATTAAATTTTTCTTATAATTGACTTAATCTATTTAGTAGTTTATATTTTATTGTTAAATATTGTAAATTAAAATAAACATGTTAAATGAATTTTTTTTTTTTAGATATTTAGAAAGTCACTTATATAAAAAAGACCATTGTTCTCTGCTGTCTACTGATGTTGCTATGAATAATACTATATAAATAGACAGTAAAAACTATTATTTGTATAATATTTGTAATGCAAACAAAAACATTAAATTGTATTGTTGTTATTCTTGTTGATACTATAACTTGTATCAGAACTGTGTTGTATCATATAGATATTAATTTTTGTATTGAAATATACAGTTTGTTAAGAAAATTATTTTAATAAATTTCTTTTCAACAGGGAAATTATAGACTTTATTTAATGTTCTTATTATTGAGATAGAGAAAAAATGTTTTAATTTAATCATTTATTGTTTGGTTTTACCCCAAAATTTTGATGTTGAATTAACAAAATTCTATAAAAAAAATTAATGTATTAAATATATAAACCAACTTATTTGTGCTACTATCCTGGTGACATGGATAAATAATGTAGATTTGTCTAGAAATAACTGATGATCATAGAAAAAAAACTTGTGATTTATGATGTAATAAAGTTTATTGATTACCACCAATGCTGGTATGGGGAAGCAAGCAGTTCGGTTGTATAGGACCCTGCATACTATGAATCATTTATATTACTTTATCTAAATATATAATCACATAATTATATTATCACCAGAAAAGGGTTATATATTGTTATTATCGACAAAAATCAAGGTTGTACCAAAGATCTTAAAGCTTATAAAATTATATTAAAAATCACTATTTCAAACTAAAAACAGAAAAGAAATGAAATAATTGAATCTACAATTAAAGCTAAGTTTTCCTTCAATTATCAACCAATTTTTAAAAAAAAAGATTACATTTTAAATTGCTGGTAATATATTATACAAATATTTCAAAATGATGGTTTGATATATAAAATAGGAATATAATAAACAGATTTAAATAAATTTTATATCCAAATATTTAAGTTTTTTACATGATATTTGAATTATTTTTTCATTATTGTTAAATTATTGCATTTTAATTCAATATTATTTTGAACTTGGCTTGAAAATTGTATTTTAATATTGAACTAAAAAAAAAAAAAAATAAAAATAATCGCATAATTATTATTATTATTTAAATTACCTTGTGAAATTAAGTAATTCAATACAAATATTTGTTCTTTACCTTTAACATTTGTTAAACTTAAGAGGACGCCACAGTGCTTGCCACTTGCATTATCTCCATTTTACAAATTAACAACATAGTAAATCAGTGTTTGGTTAAACCAATTTTATGTTATTAGCTTTAATATTTGAGTAAATTGACCCATTATCAAACCTAAAGTGATAGACAATGTGTATTAGACATAAACTGTGCTATAACACATTTTTACATGTCTTCATTTTAAGCGAACTATGAGCTTTTTTTAAATTGTAATATTTTTCATTATCATGAGACTTAAAAATTAATGTATCATTAAAAAATTGTCATTGTATAGTTAATTTTCTTCTATTTATTTTTAATAACAGGTCAGTTAACACTAACGTTTAGACTAACAATAAAAAATTGATTCTATTGAACTGAACAACTGAACTAACTTATTATTAGTTTTGGTTTTCTTTGACATTCATATAAATCACATGTCTATGTTATACTTATTAGTGGATGTATTGATGGTTTTACTCGTTATATTATATGGCTTGAAGTGGCACCAACTTGTAATGACCTTAATATTGAAATATTTATAATAAAATAATTGAATATGGTAATAAGTACATAAACTGTAGTATGTTAACATCATTAATTAAGATATGTGATTTGTAGTATTAAAAAGCAAATAATCTGTTACAGTTCTAGGGCAAAATTTTTGTACGAGCTGCAGCCTACCCTGCCCTTACACTAGAACTGCCACTGTAAATAATTACTATTAACATATTTTTGATAATAAATAATTACAAATTTATGCTGTATGATCACTAACTTATAATCATTAACTAAATTACTCTTTAATCTGTTACTAAAGTAAGTAGTAAGTACTATATCGTATAGTTGGCAACAATTTGAATCCATTTTAATAGTTTAAAAGCACTCACAAAACACTTTTTCCACATTTTCTAATATATAAATTCTAAATGATAATAAGTTGTGATAATCAATAATATTGAGATAAAAAAAAACATACAGTTGATTTTTCAACGCTTCCATAGATGTTAATGACCGAAATTTCATAAAAATGTCAAAATATGCAATTATGTCATAAAATGTATTAAATATACCTATATTTTCAACAAATATATACAAAAAAATAGTTAATATTAATTCAAAAATGTATATACTCTTTTGAATGTGTATTTAAAATTACTTTATTACAAAAAATACAGCTAATAAATATGAAAAAAAGTATTAATTAGTTTTCAATCTATAAAAGTTAAATTTTACATAGGTTAAGCACTTTATGTATCAGGATTACACTGTAGAACAATAATTTTGCTGATATTTTCAAACTCGAAGGACCTTTGACGATCCGATAAAAAGTTTTTATCAACTGAAAATAACACAATTAACAGTAATGATTGATAATTTATAATAATATGAACAATTTTTAATGTTATACTTATAATTTATAAAATATAGGCTACTTAATCTAGAAACAATCGATATATGCAATTATATGTTCAAAAATGTCAAACGTGCAAAATAAGTTTGCATATTTGCAATCAAGATTTCAAGAATCTAATTTATATCATATTGGGTTATAATTCTGGTAGCGCGAAAAAAATGTCGTCATAAAAATCCGAGCTATAGTCAAAATAATAGTACCATCATATATGATACATTGTTTGTCTGTCATTGACAAAAAGCCATTTCCTGAGTAGGAAAACCTTTCGCTATAATGCTAGTCAAAAACAAGGCCCAATATAATAATATATCAACCATGGTACTCATTCCATTAATACCAATGATAAGACTTAAAATTAGAACTAATAGATAATATAATTGATGATTGATTAATAACCATAATTAATATTTGTATTAGAATTTTTTTTTTAATGTTTCACGTTTTTGTGAAATATTTCATACTTCAAACACTAGATATCAGGTTCCTTTGCTTGTTTATCACAACTTCAAAAAATATTTAACTACAAAATGAAAACTGGTATTTTTGTTTTACTCGATCACTGATTTTTTTTTTTTATATAAGGTGACTAGGTAGTATATTATTTAAAATTGAACAACTTCCAGATGTTGAAATTAACAATGGAAAAAATTATTAAATATTGTTTAATGGATAAAATAAATATTTTAAATACTATCTACATCTTGAAGATACATTCATTTTATTATATAATTATAGTGAAATATTGTGAAGGAGTAAGGTATAAGAAATAAAAATTTAATACATTATCCAATAGGTCAAAATTATATTAGAAAATAAAAACATTTACAAAACAGGTTACTTCTTGCCTGCAGCAGCAGCAGCCTTTTCATCTTCACGTGCATATGCAGCTAAAAGATCTTTCCTATTTTGTAAAAATCTTGCTTCCTTACGTTTTCTAGCCTCCTTAACCTTTTGACGTCTAGCTTCAGCTTGATCACTAAAACATTTAATAACAGTTAATTAAACAATAATTAACGCATTTGACATTTGAAAGTTATGAAGAACAGTTCCTCTACATTCTCATTAAGTTGCCAGTATGACTGAATCTGTTTTATTTAATATTATGACAATTCAAGAAATAAAATAAGTTTAAAATATACCAAAAAATTGTTTATGATTATATTAAGTATTAAATGACATAGTCAACATTTCAATTGAGTATTTCTTTAATCATGTCAGAATTGAGTTTTTGTAATTAATACAAATATCCAATTACCAATAAAAAAACTAATAATTATTATTTTAATCATTTTAAAAATAATGATGATACATAGTTTTTTCTTAAACGACTAAAACAATACCTCAACATCTTAGCACGGGCCTTCTCTGCCTTCTTCTTGTGAATGAATTCCATTAATACACGCTTATTCTTGAAGACATTACCCTTAGCTTTCATGTACAATTGATGATAAAGATGGTTGTCAATTTTTTTTGCCTCACGGTATTTTTTTAACAATCGCCTTAGTACACGCATTCTTTTGACCCAAAGTTCCTAAGAAAACAAGATTAGTAATAGTTATTTGAAATTAATAGAACCAATTAAATTTGTACTTTTTGAGGTGTTCGAGCATTTGCAGTACCCTTCCTTTTACCAAAACCACAATGACGGCCTTTTCTTCTAGCTTCAGCATTTTTACGTGCACGAGCTCTGGAGTGGACAGCTACTGGCTTTTTGATGATCAAACCATCTTTAATCAACTTACGGATATTTTGTCCTGAAATTTGTAATGCACTATGAAACTTTGGTATCCATTAGAGCCCTCCGGGAGTCGAACTTTTTAAGTTAAAACTCGTTCAAAATACAATTTTACTAATGATGCCAAGCTCAACTTGATTTACCATACAGGCTAGTCCAATATGTTTAACTTAAATATATACTATATAGCCAGACCCTGTCCAAATTTTTACTGAAATATAAGGTTTTGGCCATATTCACTGACTACTGCTGTACAGTGTACACTATTACCAAGTACTACTTAATTTAAAGTAAATCATTTATCAATTAATATCATAAATTAAGCCCGGCTTTGCCCATTTAAACAAAAATGGCCAGGCACAGCCCGTACAGGACTCTAGTATCCACAATGATTTTATCTAATATACTTACTGGAATTGGTATTGGCGATTTCATTAATTTCATTAGGATCTAACCAGACCTTCTTTTTGCCGCATCGCATTACCGAAGCAGCAAGCCTTTTTTGAAGCTTCAATGAACTCAAATAATGATAACATGATCAGTACACAGAATTAGCAAATTTTTTTCTTACCAAAAAATAATTATATTTGTTGGTCAAAAAATCATAATGCGTTAATTCCTAATAAAAACCCATACATAACTATTTTATTTTTCAAAAGTTATAAAATATATATAAGATTAATAATGTGTGGTTTTGGGATACAAAAATATTAAGAACCCTGACTTAGCAATACAAGTAATATTGAGTAACATAGTGGTGTTTTACAGATTAAAGAGCTTTTAGTTTGAATCAAAATGGATACAAAACCATAATGCTAATTAAGTGATTAGCCATTCAAAACAAACTAAGGCATAGTCACAATAGGTAGAGATAATGGTCCAATTTTTGATGAATGATGAGATGTCATCAAAGAGGTCGTACCCATGTTGACACACATCGTTTTGAATGATGTGCAATGGGGCGGCATGGGAACATTTTATAATTATGGGTCAAAGAGCTGATGCAGTTATAGGAGCGCTAAAGGGCTACGGATTTCTGAGTCATTTTGGACGTTCACGTGTGGCACGTTAGAAAATCACGGCAGTGAAGGACGACGAAACAATGTCGAACAGCACGAACGACCGCAGAACGATGGACAGAAATAATGTAATCGACTCACCTCATTTTTCGTGGTTTACCCTAGCGCGACGCGAAAACGATGTAAAAAACGCCACACAGGATAAATATCTGAAAATAACGCGAGTAAGTGAAGACTCGTTCGCAAGTGAAAGAACGAGTATGTTGATAACCTCAAATGGCGTGGAGGAATTGCGACCAATGACGCTTTGTGTTCCCAGCCATGCACGTTGTTTTCCATGATACTTGCTCTGGCCCGGAAACCCCCGGTAGATGTCGCGCCGTTTCTAACCTCATTTCTTACGTTACTGCCGCTGCGATCGCAACTGATCGCCATCGCCAACACTCAACATCGTTCGTAGACGAGCGCCAGCACAACACATTTTGTTGACCTTCTATTTGCACTTTTTGCGAGCACCCGTTTCGTGTCATAAGACTTAAGTAAGTATAATATTATTTATGTTAACTTTTTAAAATTATTGCCATTATTGTCGCGTTTTTGTCTTTCTGCCATCCTTTAGTATTACGAATTATATCCGTTACTTTCACCGCAGGACGATAATGTCCGACAAGCACGAATACCACGTGTGCGTGCACTGTGTTTACGGTGTCGGTCTTTAATTAGGGTTGCCATACGTCCCTGAAAACCGGGATTGTCACTAGTTTTAAACTTTGTGTTTATGTCTTTCGTCTATATGTCCCGGTTTAGAGAAAATGTAGAATTGATTAAATTGATTTTTGCTCAAAATTCTGTTATACTCTTCATTTACTCTTTCTGCCTATCATTAACAACATTATTATGGGCTACAATATTTGGTTCTTCATTATACATAGGGATAACATTTTGAAAAAATGGTTAATTTTTGTATGTATATACACTATTTAAGGAGATGAGATAAATATATTTTTGAACTTCCAATTTAAGGACCACCCTATTGTCGATAGTGTTAATGTCTGAACCATTTTCGGCAGTACACCTTAAAACGTATCCTGCTATTATATCTCATATTTGTTAAAATTTGAGATTGCCTTTCAACTTAGTGCCATAAATGTTATTGAATACAAAGAAGAATGTCTTGTTTTCATTACCTATATTCTATTAGTTTTCGAACTGCTTTAGTTCTTAGTTGTTTTACTGTAAGTAATTGTTTCTATATAATTATCTTTGGAATTAGGAATACATGTATAATTTTGTATATATTATGATTAAATGTATTACTTTCTATTAAGTCTCATATGAAATACTGCTAACTATATTATGGTATTGCTAAATTTGTTAATATATTTTATATAGTTTATGTTTATGTTAAATATTAAATCATTATTAAACTATTCTATTTTAAATTTTCATGTTAAAAATTAAAATGATTAATGTAATATAATACATAACAAATTCAAATGTCAGTTTTAAAATTTTACCACCGATATTTACTATATATCTATTATATCTTTTTTTATTTTAAATCTACATCAAAATTAATTAATTTTTTGCTTGTAATTTAAATACTTTTTAAAGTTAATACTCTGCAGATTTTTATTTTAAAAGCTGATGGTGATAAAAATATTTTTATTTGTCATTTTGTAGGGTTTGAAACCTTATGTATTTTCCTGATAACCGTTTATTTTTAAGTGAAAAAATATGCAAGGTTTTTCTTTATGCCTCTACTTGGGTATTTATTTTTAATGATGGTTCATATTTTATATCATCTTTCGTGTCTGATACCTGATGCTATTCTGTTAACTGATTGAATTAAATTTTAAGTTAGATCTCCTTATATATTTTAAAACAAATTGCATGTACCTATATTAATTTGTAAATATTTATTAACTAGTATACAAGGTAGCTGTATTTATAAAACTAATAATTTTATTAACGTTTCTTTAAAACCTATGAATGATGATTTACACTTTTATACAAACCATCTTTCGGGTCTGAAACCTGATGCTAATGTGTTACTGATTTAAATACTTATTTACTTAGGTAGTTATATATTTCCAAGCAAATGGGCTCATTTTTAGTTACTTATTATTTTTGGTAATTATAATTTGGTATTTAGTTGCAAAATTATATGCCTAATATTTTATATTAAAAAGGTATAAAATCAATGATGATTCACACTATTTTACAAACCATCTTTCGGGTCTGAAACCTGATGCTAATGTGTTACTGATTGAAATACTTATTTACTAAGGTACTTATTATATATATTTCCAAGCAAATGAGTTCATTTTTAGTACCTTATTATTTTTGTTACCTACAGTTATTTAGTTGCAAATGATATGCCTAATAATATATGTTAAAAATTTATAAAATCAATGATGATTCACACTATTTTATAAACCATCTTTCGGGTCTGAAACCTGATGCTATTGTGTTAACTGAATATTTTGTATAAAGGTCGGATGTATAAACAGCGTAATATTAAAATGTTTAAACATTTTACAAAAAATATTTATTTTTATTAGCAGACTTATCTGATTGAATATTTCAATATAAATATCTACAATCAGAAATTGGTAACTTACTGCAATAGTACAAACGGATGTCCGGGGACATTGCTTTGTAGCAACAAGCCTTCAAGCCCATCTGTACATAATATATAATAAGAACTTCAAATTTATTTATTTATATTGTTATTGCTAGTGATGAATAATTTTAATACCATCTTTCGGCTGATAATCATTGATGATTAACATTAACTGATAGCAATATAACCTAAAGATGAAAATATATGCCTTATAAATAAATTGGGACAGAAAATGAAATTTATCATCAAATAAATATTGGGCAGATTTATATGATTGGATATTTCTGAATAAATATACTGATCAGATATTGGTAACTAACTGCGATATTATTAATGAATGTCCGGGGACATTGCTTTGTAGCAACAAGCCTTCAAGCCCATTTGTACATTGATAATCTTTATTTCATTATTGTACTATTTAAATCTGTTGATATTAAGTTGTTTGTGCTAATGATGAATACATTTCATACCATCTTTCGGCTGATGTTTTTTGATGATTAATATTATCTGAGAGCATAAATGTATATATATATATAAATTATATTCATTTTTCTAGCATATTAAACTACATAATATATGTATGGGTTATATTCTATAAAATATAATAAATTGTATTTTTAAGATACAAGAGAGATTTATTTGATATTTATATTTCAATATAAATACACCGATTAAAAGTTAATAATTAGGGCTAGGATAGTATAGGATTTTGCATTTTTTTTTTTTAGGATTTACAGGACATAGCTTTTCAAGCACAAAATGTGATTTGGTCATATACGAGTCCAAATATATAGTTTTTATTTTGCTTTTTTTTGCATTTTTCGCACTTTGGATTTAGGGTCATTTTGTAGCATTTTTAGGTCATTTTTTCAATTTTATCGGCATTTTTATACTTTTTTGAAATCTTGGTAATATTTTTATTCATTTTCATTTACACTAGATGTTCTCGATAAAAGTTTTGAATTTGTAACAGAAATAATTATATAAATATTTCAATTATAGAGATAGTGTGTTAGTACTCATTATCGATAATAAAACCACTTATATATTACAACAACAAACTTTGATACCACGAGTTATCTTAATCGTAAAATTAGATGACAGTGATGTGGAGTGTATCTACGTTTGGTTTTGTTAAATATCTATTTAGTTAGTCTTTACTTTCGGGATTGCGTATCGTGCTTATACCGAAATATGCTGAAACAAAAATCATCGCAATCAAGTCGTATGCGGCTTTATGTTTCGGAATTTGGCGCCGACGTCTTTTCTACCGATGGATTGGTGTTATATTGTAAAGTCTGTGAAGTTAAAGTTGCAGCAGATAAAAAATATATTTTTTACCGAAATATTAATTAATAATTATAAACTATAATTTATAATTTATAATGCATTTTTATAATATTTTAAAATCATTTTTTATCTTTTGGGCATTTTTTAAGGTCATTTTTTTAGGTTTTTTGGGTCATTAAAATCCTAGCCCTATTAATAATTTAGTGTCCTAACATTCATGAATTAGCAATAAGCCCATTTGTACATGGACAATATTTATTTTTATTATTGTTTGATTTAAATTTATATTCATTAATTTATTGCTTATGATGAATTATTTTCATACCATCTTTCGGCTGATTATAATTGATGATAAACATTGACTGATAGCAATATAACCCAAAGATAAAATATACATCTGATAAATTAATTGGGACTTAACACAGAAAATGTAATTTATAATCTAATTAATATTTGGCAGATTTAAATGATTAGATATTTCTGAATAAATACATTGATCAGATATTGGTAACTAACTGTAATATTATTAACAAATGTCCGGGGACATTGCTTTGTAGCAAACAAGCCTTCAAGCTCATTTGTACATTAATAATCTATATTTCATTATTATACTGTTTATATCATAGGTTTCCAAAGTGTACGCCACGGCGCCCTGGTGCACCGCGCTGTCATGAAATACTATCGGGTCTAACATTTTCCTTATGATTAGTCATACTATGACTTAGAGAAGGGCGCCCTGAAAAAACTAGATCAAAAAGGGTGCAGTGGGTTGAAAAAGTTTGGGAAGCACTGGTGTTCATATATGTATACATATAACAGCTGGTTTATATGTATTATTAAGTTGTTGTGTTAATGATGAATAATTTTCATACCATCTTTCGGCTGATGTAGTTGATGAATAACATTATCTGATTGCAATACAACAACAAGAAAAATTTAATTACATAAATTATTCCATTTAAATGAATAACCTTAAATAATTGTTTTACAGATTTATATGGTTATTGGGTATTTCATAAGTATATTAAATCTAAATAGGTAACTTACTGCAACAGTATTAATGAATGCCTGGGGACGTTGATTTATACCTACCAACAAGTTTTCAAGTTATTTTATGATAAATATTATTTAATATATAAATTAATAAAATCTTAGCCTGGAGTAGTATTATTTTTGTAAAGGTTTTTGACAGGTTTCAAATTAAAAATTCATTGTCGGGTATATACAAAAAAAAATAAAATTGGCACTGAATATGAAAAAATAAAATGGTGAATCATATTATTATTAATGTTAATATTTTGGTTTAATTAATTTAAGTATTGTTTTAAACTTTATTTCAATATATTTATTTTGTGTTATAGAATGCGTTACGTGGCCGCATACCTGTTAGCTTCCCTCAGTGGAAAAGAACCATCCAGTGAAGATGTTGAAAAAATCTTAAGCTCAGTTGGTATCGAATCTGATTCCCAAAAGCTTGGTATTGTTCTTAAAGAACTTAAAGGAAAGAATGTTGATGAACTTATTGAGAGTGGTAAGTTTACTTGATTTTATATTTTAGAAAATATATGCACCATTGGTGTATAATATACTTACAATAACAATATTAAGTTGATATTTATAATTATTGGCATTTTTGTATTTAACTATATTGTTAATAAAGATGTATTTTTAAAGTATTGACACTAAATATTCTATTTATATATACATTTTTTATATATATTTTTTTAATTGTTTAGGTAAGGCTAAGTTAGCTAGTGTACCATCTGGTGCTGCTGTAGCAGCACCTGCTGGAGCAGCAGCAGCACCTGCAGCTACTGAAGAAAAAGGTATTTAAAAACTTGTCATTTTAATTTCTTTTTTCTGGTATATATTAAACCATTTTTAATTTTATAGCTGCCAAGAAAGAGGAAAAGAAAGAAGAATCCGATAATGAATCTGATGATGATATGGGTTTTGGATTGTTCAACTAAGATTAAGATGTAAGTGTGTTAGGCTCATTGTTTGTAGTTGCTAGATTAAATTATGCAGGCTCCAGCGGGTTATTGTTGAATTTGAACATTTGACCTTCCTAAGGGTATGCTAAATAAAATATATATTTGATTTGAGATTAACTATATAGTTATATATAGTTTATATTAGGCAAATAAAAACAATGATATAAATATATTTTAATTAATTTAACCTTAAAACGTTTAATAATAAAGTTGTAAAAATTAGTTGAAATGTAATTAGTGAATTGGTTTATAGTATTGTTGGGAAATAAGTTCTAGTAGATTCTATAACTAATTATGCAGGCTCCAGCAGGTTTATGTTAAATTAAGAACATTAACCTTCCTAAGGGTATGCTATAGAAAATATATTTGTTTTAAGGTAATCTATTGAATATGTATAGACTAAAATTATTTTCAAGTATAGTTGTGAGATCACTAGTAGCTTGTACAACTAATAATGCATGCTCCCAGGTGGTTATTGTTTAATTTAGAATATTAACCTTCGGCTGCTTTTCTATATAAAATATTTGTTTAGAGGTGACCTATATCAAATATGTATTGGCTTAAATTAAAAATTACAAACAAGCAGTGACGTACATACAGGGGATCCGGGGTTCAAACCCCCCAGTGCCAAAAAAAAAAAAAATTGTTTTATTATTGATGACGTATAATATATTCGTAGTTTCATTATTACGCTTTGAACTTAAAATATACAACTAAACAAATATTAAGATAATTAAATAATTAAATTGATAGGTGTTTGAAAAGTTATGTTAATTATGCTGTTTTTATATTCCAATAGCTATTAATTTACTATAATGTAAAAGTAAACTGTAAATTGGTAAAAAAGTTGTATAAATAATGTCTATTTATAGCAGTTATTTATCTTATTTATCTGTGCAACGAAAAAAAAGATAACGATTATTTTTGTTAACCCCTCCCCCCCCTCTAGAGCAAGATTGAATGTACGTCACTGCAAACAAGTTTTTATATATTTAGTTTTTTTGTTTTTATGACAATCTGTTTAAATCCCAGTTGTCATTTTGTACTATAATTGTAATAATCAACAATTTATTTTTGAATGCAAAACATTTTTTTTGTTAGGGGTTAAATATGAGTAAATATGATAAATCAAAATATATCTTTTTACATTCAGTGACTAATGAAAATTAAAAAAAAAAATTTCAGATTTTTCCTCCTCTTCATTGATGCGCCTGACTATTTTGTACTTCAAACTGATGGTTCAATAAAACAATTATTTTAATTTTGTGTTATAATTTTTTCCCTAGTTGTATTTCTCATCCTTTTTAGTAATTAATTTCTGTTGTACAAATCTATTGCAATTGTGCAACTATACAAATCAATAATGTATCTTACTATAATAATAAGTGGATATATTTTATAAAAGTGGTTTTTATCATTTTACTGTAGAATAGTTTTAAAGTTAGTTGCATCATAAGAATCTATTGAAAGAAACAAAATTGCCTTCTAATGGTAATGTGTATTTTTCATGTGCTAAATTTTTACTTTATGAGTATATTGTTAATGGTAACAGAACTGTTGTTCATAACTTATTTTACATAAATTTAGACAATTGTTTGTTAAAAATATCTCTTGCACATGGTAAATATGAATGTTTCTGTTATCTTAAAAGTATATTAGAAGTATGAAAAAAAATATTACATGATAATAAATAATGACAAGTTTTAATTATTCCCTACATTGAAGTGTTTTTTTAGACATACATTAACGCTCCGAGGATATCTTATACTCTGATATTTGACACGTTCAATGCTAACATTATTTTTGGTGTGGACGTCGGTGCATGTGATGAATGGCCAACACAAATATGGCCTTGCACTCAGCCGAGTGTTTTAGAACACAAATACGATGACATACGACATCAGCATTGAACATGTTATTTTTATTTTTTTTTTTTTGAAGTGCCATTATCTTACCTCGTTACTAGGTATTATGAAATTCTCTGACTTGGTTAAATGTACGAGTATATGGATGGATCACTTTTATTCGATTTTGGGTAGGTATCATTTTTCGGTATTGATTAGTGGTTACAGTGGTATTTTATTAAAGCTGTCGCTATGCCCCTACTACACTTGAGTGTGTATGATTAAATGACGGCGTAATAATTAGTACACAAGTTCAAAATTGATCATTTATGAAATTTATAAGAGGTACCATACGGACAATCAACTTTACATCCAAGATAATTAAACTGAAATCAACTTTTAAAAATCGAAAAAAAACTTCACTGGGTCACCTAACGAGACTAGAGTAGGTAAGTTAATATTGTCACTAACCATTTCAGAAACTCCCTGTACGTACAACGTACAGATGCATGTAATAAATTTACGATTTACTAGTAATCTCTGACAAATGTTTTTTACAATTCGTGTTCTGGATTAAAAATTTTTCATCAGGTCCGTTAAATATTTTACGCTAAAATTATTAATCGATTACGCTCGAATAAAGCCTACACTACATGCTAATATCCGGTCGCTCGATTGATATGGTTTTTTTTTAACGTAAAAGTTCGGTGAAAAACTGCGACGCGCGTTCTGCAATTAAATACGATTATTATACATCGCAGGGTGCATAAACATTGGAAATTTGATGGCGTTCAGCGAAATACAATTAATTTTCGAAATAATTCATCACATCGCTCAGAAAATCATGTGTACATCTTATTCGTACTGCATGGAAAAAATAAATGTCTACTCGTATGTCGTAAGATATGCGCGCAAATGTTTTGGAACGGTTCTAATTCTACAGAATTACACGTACAGCCACTATCATCGTGGTGGCATTCAATCACTCTGCCTTGATGCATAGTAGGTAGTAATCGTTGTAGTACCGTAAATCCGTGTGGACCGTGGATGGAACGATGAATACGAAAAGGGATTTAATTTTTTCACGTTATGTAAAAAACTCGAACGAAACGTTACGTTCGACAAGTCGCGAGTGTAGTCTAATTTAATGCATCCTATAGCAATCGTAATTTTTCGTATTGCAAAGGCACAGAGACAGCGTATATATTTTATATATATATGTATATGATATAGTATTTTTGTTTCGCAATCTTACGGCGGATTGAATCAATAAAATATATAATATCTTACGCAAGGGCAAGTGTTCGCGGCGACGGGGATTCTCGTGTTCCATATTATAAAACCAGCATTAACGCGAACTATTGTCGAGAGCACACATCATTGTACGGTGTTTTTATACGTGCCGAATGTAAATTTTAGTCTACGTGTTTCAAACGAAGATGACTCCGTTTTACGGACACTAGATCACATGCGTGCAGAACTATCAGTACCCCGTCATCCGCCGACTGTGACCGCGTTGTAAACGACGCGAGCAAATGTCCAATAAGCCGACGTGAACGATGTTGTCCGACGCTTTTTTTTATATTTATTTCAAATCGTTTAATATTCCCCGGACATTTGATGATATTATGTAGGTACTGCAATCGTTCGTAACATTTATGCATTCTTCGTTTTCGATTAGATGCTTCTAATCATGATTAGATTCAGTGGCGTAGCCAGGATTTTTAAAGGAGGGGGGGCTAACCACTTTTTTCGGATAAGTAAGGTATGAGAGAATATGAGAATTCACCCTTGACCCCCCCCCCCACCATCTACCAACAAGTTTCTAAACGTAATTCAAGCATTTTAGTATAGTTTTAAAAATATTTATTAATATATAATTTGTAATAATAGTAATAATTTTGGTTTCAGTGTTCAGTCACTTGCTCCACTCTGACAGCTGCATCCTCTTAGGCGAATTTCTGGCAAATTCAGTTATTATTTCACTTTCATCGAATTGCTCTTTTTTATTTATATTAGCCATAGCTAACCCATTCAGTCTGTTTTCCGACATGGTGTTTCTTAAAAAAAATTTTAAGCGATTAAGTGCTGAAAACGTTCTTTCCGGAGTGAAAGAGGTAACTGGTAACGTGGCGAATAATTGTAAAAGTATTTTAATGTTAGGTCGAAGATTGGTGCGATGAGAGAGTGAATCAAGAACAGAATTCGGTTTTGGAATAGTATTTTGACTCCATTGTTGCCTCCATATGAACAGGTCAGTTCTGATTGTAGATAAGGTGTCATCATGGAGATCTTGGACATATATTTTAGCAGCTTTTATAATATTTTTATCGTCATACATATTTAAATTGACTGGAATAAGTGGCATAACATCAATAAGCCTTTAATTAAAACGAGCATCCATTGATTCTATTAGTCATAATAGTCATTATTATAGTGTATAGATACACTCTACATATAAACACGGCCCATGGGGAGGCTATAGTCCCCTTAGCCCCCCCCTTGGCTACGCCACTGATTAGATTCGATTATTTTTTCGTTTTTTCTTCGTACAAATTAATTATGAAAATAAGTGAAATAATTAAATGCTTTAAGGACGTGTATGCAGGGACATATTTTAGCGAAGGGGCAATCGCCCCCCCCCCCTGAATCCGTAGTTAAGAAATTTATTATACGTGAAATACACATTTCAATTTTTTGTAATATGGATCAATTTATAACGAAATCAAATTACGCGTGACTGTGAATACTAAATTAGGTTTTTTGTCTGGTCCGTACTTAGTGAAAATCAAATAAATTACAAGCGTAACTTTCAAAACATAGACAGGTGTTAAAAAATAACTACTCAAAGTCAATTCTAAGTAGATCCGGCATTAGATTAAAAAAAAAAAAAAAAACCACAAACATTAAGGATTAAACTGATTTAAATATTATCAACAATTTTACTTGTAAATTTTGAGCCTGAGATAATGAAAAAATTTGATCCGCCCCCCAGAAGTAAGTCTATATACGCCTCTACATCCAGTGTTTATTTCAGAACTATCCTAGGGGGGAGGGGGTATCGTATCAAGGAGGTATGCCTTAGAAGTAAATATATAAGGGAAGTAAAAGTATCGTTTTTATGCTCAATTTATAGGTATTAGATAGATACCTACGAATTCGTAGATTCTTAAAAATCTAACTTTGGTTAATTATATGTATACAATATTTGAATTAAAGTGTAGAGTAATAATTCAACCATAATACCTTTGAACCATTTCTCACTCCCGGGACAGCTATACCCGATTACCGATTTTTGAGCTGTTACCAGTGGCGTAAACTGGGCGTTGCAAATGTGGCAATTGCAACACCACATCTAAAATGTGGTGGTGCAAAGATATGTTTTTGCACTATCAGAAATTTATTGAAATTTGTGTACCTATAATATTATTTTCAAGAGCCAAGGAAATCAGCATACTAAAAAAAAAAATGTTATTGTTTTTTTTATTGATATTATATTAATAAAGGTTTTACTGCTAAAATAATTTAAAATTTATTTGTTATTTAAAGAAATGTATGGGAAAATATTTAGTTTCTTGGAAAGGATTTTACTTAGGAAATTGGAAAATTGGTGTGTTGGAAATTATAAGTTGAGAATATATCCCTGCACCACCAGAAATTGGATTTAATTTACGCTACTGGTTGTTACAGTATTTAAAAAAGGGGACGGTAATCTCTGAGCGTACCTAAGGACGCCGAGAAGGTAAGTTTGTATTTCGAAAAAATTACAGTTCATACTCGGCAATAAGACCACTTGCTGTAACGGGACTGTAGATCCATGTTACAATAGTTTTAATGATATTTTCATCCATGACTTGAAATTTTCTTTTTCATCGTGTAGAATATCATTGAACCCACCTCACCTCATCTACGTGCATATGCTTACAGGGTAAGCTATCGCTCCTGGAAAATCAATCGGTTGCAACTTCTTGAATACGGTTTTCAGTAGCGTGCACGTTGTGCCGGTGACGATTGACCTTCCGTTCACCGTTGCTCCACTTGCTCTTGACTCGAAAAATTCACCACCTTACGAATTCCGAACTCCGATCACCGTCCCTAATAGTGCACTCGGGTTCGTCTCAACAATCGCCGTTCGTTTTATCTTCTTCTATTCAACCCTGTGGTTTCGCAGTCGTTCGTTATCGTAGGGTGTTATACACATTTTTTTTGTTTTTTTATGAAATAAATATTTCAATATTCCTATTGATATCATAACGAGATGCAATAATACTAATGGGGATGTGCATGATCTTCAGAGGCGGGTATCGGATGCTCGCAACACGTGTTTTGCATGTACGTATCAATAAAAACGAACATGTTTGGCTAGTCGGGTACAGCAATACTCCCATGTTGCACCAAGTCTCGCAAGATAAGTTTT